ACATCCCCTTCCACTGTCTTTGCACAACTGTTTAGTTCGATGGCAGCTACATCCATGGGCATTTAGTCTTCCAAAGTACTGCACCTTCATTTCATTAATAAACGGACTCCCTGGTAACAGAGACAGCAAGAGAGAAGTGCATCTTTCCCAAACCCTTGCCAAGCATATTCCCTCTCCTGTGCCCCTGCTGCCCATGAACTTCATGCTAGCAGTACTTTAGAGACCCCAAAAAGGAGCTGAGTAAAGGGACATAAACTTGGGTTTCCAAGCCCAACAGCTGCCCTCCAACAAAAAGAAACAGGTGCCATACTGGGAGGTCACCCTGGCTCAGAATTCAGAGTGATGAAAAAGCACTCACTGAGCAGCTGAGAAAGGGAAAGAGAAGGGAGCAATATTATAAATCAGTTGTTGTAACTAGCAGTAGTTACCTATTGGCAAAGTACATTTTCCTTTGGCATTTAGCTCCTCCAACAGGATGGTCATTATTGGCACCAGCTTTTGCTTACTCTCTTCATTGGAGATAAAGCCACTTTCCAGCTAGGAGAGAAGAGAGCCAGCATTACCTCCTCCCAACAGTGCTTACTGGCTGTAAGAATTTGAAACGGTGGACAGTTACACTTGTATCTCTCCCTAAAGCTACCTTGGATCTGTTAGGAAAAAGAGGTCATAAAGACACCTCCCTGGTGTTTTTATCCTTACGATGAAATACTAGAAAAATCTTCACTTCCTCCAAAATAACCTATACATGAGATTTCTGTAAATTCGGGGGGGGGGAGGGAAAGCAAGAAATCCATTATTCAATTATTAAGATACAAGAAATCCATTATTCAATTATTAAGATGCCTGACAGAAAAAGATGGACATATGCTAAATTTCAGACTTAGTTTTACTTCTGATTAACAGACTTAGTGGCAAGTCCTCAAGAAAACTGTCTCTGGCCATTAAGTTAGTTGAGGAGGACATGTATTTCACTTACACCACAGAGAGGCTGAACACCCAAGCTGGGTATCAAATAGAATTCAACCTTAACTATGGGGTTATCACCTAGGGCTCCAAAGTTTAAGCATGGAAATGAATTTTGATCAGAATACAACTGACACCTCTTACAGTGCCTGTAAGGAAACATCCCTAGTAGGACACTTGTTAAAAGGAGTTCTAAGCAACTCCCATCTTGATATTTAGGATATAAGAGGGAAATGGAGATTTTAATGTTGAATTGCAAATGTGCCTAACACAAAGCACTGGAAAATATTATCTCAAGTGCGTTCACTGTCTCCTAACTTAGCCATAAAGGGATGGAAGGACACTCCAGCTGTCATCTAGTCCAACCCCCTGAACTTTATAACATTTGTTTTTATAAGCTATAATAATGAAAATGTACTACTAATGTTGAATTACCCGAGTTGCCTTGTGATAGAAGTCAAATATTGTGCAGCAATAATGTATGCCTAAGGAGCAGAGTTAGGTTATATACGTATGACCTGACTTTAGAGCAAACAGCACAAAATTACTGAGTCTGGTTTTATACAAAGTAGACACAGAATAGTACACTGGAAACCTCTCTGACCTCTAAGGTGGTAAGATAGCCAGCCAGTTTCTTTACAATAGGCTCCAGTGCACAGGTTTCAGCTCTAGCATCACAAACGAAGCCCAGGTTGAAGAGCAAGGCATTCCGGCTGTACTTCTTGTGCTCAATACAAACTGGGCAGCCAATCAGCTTCTTCTCCATGGCAGTTCTATTACAATGAAAGAGACACACAAACCATCACTGTGAAATCATGGGGCACCAGTTCCAGCTACTTCATGAAGAATTAATCCCATTTTACTTTTTAAGCAAAAATTACAGTTGGTTTTATATGAAAAGAAAAATGACCCCTCCCCAAACTCACAACACTTAATCCAAGTGCAGAACAATATACTCTAAGAATCTGTTTTTCTGAGCTGTTTACACAGATTTATGAACTAACTGAAAGCGAATCCTTTAAAAAAATAGCACCTCTGCCAGGCTTTGTCCCAAATAACCTTAACAGGATGCTTCAAACTTTCTATATAATTCAAATTCACTGAAATCCTGTGTGGAGGTTACTGTTGAACCCTACTTAAATTAACAACTGTGGCATCTCCTTGCTATTACTGTATAGGTAACAAGAGAAGCCCAGTTCAAGTGCTCAAGTAAATGTGGCCAAATATAAACCAGCCCAAACTCTCAAGAAAGGGCCCATGTTCTTTGTTTTCTTGTTGCATTCCCCAAGGCCTGTGCTTTCCAGTCAGCACTGACACTTGGGGAGGTCAGCAGCTCTAGTTTCAAGCAGCTCCATCCTTGTTGAAACTGCTAAGCTAAAAGCTCTCGACTGCACCTCTAGCACTGGTTAAGGATGACAGACCTGGATCCAGAAAGCTTCTGCTTATCTACAGCAGAGCTACAGACCAAGCAGTAGCAAAGCAAACTTCTCCCAACTAGTAGGCTTCATCCTTCCTCACTTGGAGGTGGAGTCACAGTTCAGCACCAATGGTCCAGTCTGGTCCATCCTCAGACTTTCCCCAAGACTGTACCAAGGGGGCCTACAATGAGCACCAGCTGTGGTGGGTTCTACAACACATACTCTTGTCCACTGGGACCAAGAGCCACTACTTATGTCATCCAGGCCACTAGACAGCTGTCAGATAGATGGATCTGTCAGCAGTGGTGGCCTTAGAGTTGTTGGGGCCCTGGGCAAGAGTGTCATTCAGAGCCCCTTAGAGGCTTAATTTTGATGACCTATAAGCAAGTTGGACATTTTCAATTTCACTCTGCCCTATCCATGAACTTATGAATAAGTTGAAGAAAGAACTTCCTTGCACAAACTTCACCCCCCCCAAAAAACTGTTACAAAATTTTGGGGCCCCCTAAAATGTGGGGCTCTGGGCAGGTGCCCAGTTTTCCCTCCCCTAAGGCCGTGACTGCTGTCAGTCTCCTCTGAGCTGGGGGGGAAGGGGGGGGCAGAGAACGAAACCTTGCTCAGCTTTGCCTGGAAGCTGGACCCTTGCTTTGAGTGAGTGGGGGCTATACTTACACTGTGATGAGCTTGTTCTGCAGTTCAGGTTTGGTGATGATGTACACCTGGACCGTATCAAAGAGCTCCCGGGATATGAAATCCTCTGGGACCTGCATGGCCAAAGCAGCAACGCATCACTGAGGGTAGAGCACCCAGTCAAAACCTAGCAGCACACTAAGTGCAAGGAAAAGGGACAGTCCTTGAGGACCCTGGAAAGGAACTTTTGAAGACAACATTACAAATTATATTGTAACAATGAATCTCAGTTTAGTCCATCAAACATACAAATGGCCCAGGAGCACGCTGGAGATGGAGGGAGTCAGCCACAGGAGAACAGTGCCCTGCTTGGAGCTCTCCATGCACAGTGTAAATGAATACCCAGGTTCCCCAACAGACTGGTATCACTGACCTGGTAGGTTATTTTAGGTCCCAGCGTTGGGTGGAATTCACTGAAGAAGATGCATTCAATTCTGCTGCTGCTCCCCATGATGCTGCTGCAAGACAGCATGTGCAGCATCAACGTCTATTAAAAAAGCAGTAAGCTAAGATCTCCTGGAAGAGATGAGGGGGAGAGAAGTCCCATTCTCCTCCCAGGAAGGACATGGAAGAAGCAGCACACACCCAGAGACTCACCTGGGTTTAATACCTCTGAAACCCAAACTCTGAAGTAAAGTTACAGCAGTGGTAAGTCTGGCTCTTCTGATCTAAAGTCTGTGGTTGTCGTCCCTGCTTTTGAACCGGGGCCCAGGACTTCTAGGTTTTAGGCATTGACTGTTTGAATGGAAGATGTATGTACATTGCTGTGGGGGCAGGAACCGGATCCCATGGCCACCCCTGCCCGTGGCCTGGCCTGTGGCTGACCTGTCAGGCAAGCACAAGCTGTGCCTCTGCAGTTTCTAAGGCTAGGACAGCCCACGCTGGCTCCTGGCCCCAAGCCCGTCTGTGTTAACACAGGCACTGACCCAAGCAACTGGTCATGTCACATCTCAGCCTTAGCCTGGCACCGGCCCCAAGAGCCACCATACACCAAGCAGGTCTTTGCTTCTCCCTCCTGCCCTGCCCGTGCAGCCTTTCGCTGGGGGCCACGAGGTCTGCCACCTGCCCCCCTGTGGCCAGTGTTGTCAGGTCTTAAATATGAAATTATCATACTGGAAGATCAACATGATCACATTTGCTGAAAAACTATTGTACACAGAAAACACATGCAAATAAGTCTCATTTACTTTCTATTGCCCACTGTAAGTCACCAGTGAGTGAGCGAGCACCAGGTCACTACAGCTGAAGCATTTCTTTATTTCGAAGCCAGCAGGCAGATCCGAGTGCTGGCAGCAAGCCCCAGTCAGTGAAGGATCCCTGAGGGTTTTGCATCAATAACGGCCTCAAAACTCCCCGCACGTCTTGAGCTCTTTGACTATGATTGATCATGCATCGCACGAGGGTTGGAAGTACCCTACAAATGCAACTATTCCCGCGCACCTGGCAGCGCTGCCGGCCCCGCCACCGCTGGGCTTCCGCTCGCCAGTGCGGCGGGCCGGGCTGCCCCCACGCCCCGGGCAGCAGCCGCACAGCCACGGCGTCGCAGGGCCAGGGTCAGACGCTAGCTCACCTCTGCGCTGCTCCAGCAGCCCAACGTTCGTCTGCGCAGGCGCGGCTCAGCCACGGGCTCCTCCCGCATGCGCAGTAGGGCCGAGCGAAGGACCCCCCCCCCAGGCGCTCGCGTCACGTGGTGTCGTTCTAAGACCGCCTCTCGTCACATGTCCCTAAGGATGACTGCGAAGGGGCATGACAGCTCCGCGGAAGGCGGGTACCACTGGTGATGGACAGCGGAGCTTAGCCAATAGATCGGGCCGAACCCTCAAGTGGGTGGGTTTCTATGGTGATGGACAAGGCCATCTAGCCAATCAGGAGGGGGAGAGCTCTTTTCTTGCTCTCGTCGTAGTTCCTAGTGCGCTGCCGCGGCTCCGACGGGTGGTTTTCTCAGTCCGCCGCCGCCGGGCTCCGGGTGCGAGCGCAGCAGCGGCGCTGCCGGGCCACGAGACCGGCTCCGCGCACCATGGCCCTGAGCGCGGAGGCGGAGTCGGGGATCTACCGCTCCCTGCGCGCTGCCTCGGGCGCTGCGGCGCACCTGGTCTCGCTGGCGCTCCCCGTGTCCGTGGCTGTGGTCGCCAGGCCCGGGTCAAGTAAGTCGGGCGCGGGGGGACGAGGGGAGGAGCTGGGCGTGGGGTGACCCCCGCGTGCGGGTGTCTGTGCACACAAGCGGTTTTGCCAGGACCACCCTGCCTCGAGCTGCACCCGCGGCCCGGGCGCCTTCGCCCTGCCACCCCTGCGGATCCGGTCCCACCGCTCGGGCCCCGCTTGGCACCTGCAGCAGCCCCGGCGTCGGGCCTCTTGTGGCTAGTTACTGCAGCTCCTGAACTGCTGTCATTACACCACGGAGAGAGTAGGACGAGACCAGAGCCCCAGTCCCAGCAATGGCTGAGGCTGACCCAGTCTGTCCATTAGATGCAAATTTTTCTAGTCCTCAGCTGTGAAGCTTCAGCTCCTGCTCACAGCTGTGGTTTAACTGCACATCTTTAAGGGCATGCTGTCAACTTTGAAACGTAGCGTGCCCGGATCTGTGTGTCTCATTATCCAGAAAGGAGGGCAAATCATAAGGGGCATGTTAAGATGGCCTTTTCATGCCAGGCCTCTCTTGGTCCGTTATCTGGTACCATGTAAACCAGTACAGCCTGTTCCAGGGTCAAGTTGTTGCCAACTAAGTCAGCGCCCCCACCTGAGCTAGTTGGGGTGAGGCGGGTGTGTGGGCATCCCTCAGGACTTAAAAAACAAAACCTGTCAAAGGGTGGATGAGCTTCCTGCAAGCCAACGGCCATCCATACCTGGGGAGGAGATGGGCGCTGCCAGATTGCTCTACCCAATGAATCACCAGTGATGCAAAGCAATTCAACCAGTCTAGGGGGTTGTTACAGCATCTAAAGTGCCCCAACAGTTGCAGCAGCCTCAGGACTGACTTGACTTGATATTAAGACTGAAGCTGGAGCATCTGCCATTGTGCAGCTGGGGAAGTAGCAAAAGTGGCTGACAGATTTTTTCCAGTGAACAGCACTCAAGGGAAGACTTCTAGGATTTACCAGAAGGGACATGCACACAGCACAGCTGTCAGTGGGAGGGGAGGATATTACCTTTTTTGTGCTCTAAGTGGCATCTTCTGGCACAGGAAGATTTGGGGACCCAAAGAAAAGTGATGTGCCCAAGCTCAAACAGGCAGTCTGTGATGGAGCAGGGAGTTGGCCCTGCAGCTTCCCAGTCCCAGGCTAGTGCCTAAACTCATGGATCTTTCTCCCTGTCCTGAACTTTGGGGATTCCTTGTGTCGATGCCTTTCCATTCTCTGAAGTGCCTAATCCATCAAATTAGAAGGAAGCTTTTTTTTTTTTTTTTTTTT